CTCTCTCTCTCTGGAATGTATTCAGCATATCAGTCCAAGATCACATAGAGCAGATAAGGTGGCTGCACAAAAAGGTTGTGAGATCAGGTTGCAAGCAGTGGTAGTGACTCGGGTGGGGAGTGGGTGGAAACCTTAATTGGGAGCACCTTTACTCTGAGATGGACTCTTTGTTCTTGAGCTGTGATCATTAAAATCTCTTTAAATGGTAAGAGACAATTTTTGCTTTGTCCTGCTTATCTACGGCCAAAGGGGGGGGGGGTGGAAGCCAAGTCCCCGGAGCCTGGCAATACCCCATGGACATTCACAAAAACAGTCTAATTCGCAACAGCAACACATATTCACAACAAACTACAGGACTCTTTTCTTTCAGTAGAGGGTAGATATTCCTTCTCTCTCACCTAATGTCCAGGACTTAATTAGAATCTCAGTACGTATTTAAGTGCCAAGGTTGAGCACAACATCTTGAAGAAGCAAAAGCTATCTGAGCTTTGTGAAAAGTGTTGTAAGGCCAAAATAAACAACACACTGGGATAAGCATAATACTACTCCAAAACCCTTTCAAATGAAAACCTGAAATGCAGCTATAGGGATCTATGAATGTGCTCAGGACACTGTAGAGTTTAGTTTGTATGTATGAAAATATGATAATGTTCCTAAGATAATCGTTCTTCTTTACATTAATAAATCACAAACCACTGCAGCTTGTTTGGGTATGATTACAACTAACCTCTTCAACAAATCTCTGAATTGTCTACTACAGAAAAGAAGTACAACCACAGAAATTCACAGCTGACTGCAAAATTCATATTTGGCTAAATTTCTGCTTTAGAAACAATTCGTTTCTTTCTGGAAAATAATTTCAGAAAGTGTGGTAAATAAAACTTGTTTCAGATTGTAAAAAGTTTAATGGGACTTTCAGATTTAGGATGTAAATAACCTACAATTTAGTTTGATTTTTCTCCTACGTTTGAAGGTAAAATTTCTGTTTCTTTTTTCTAGATGTAATCTCCTGTAAATAACAGCCACAGTATGGATGAGCTTGTGCATAGACTCTAAGAGTGTGATGTGTATATTCAACCCTAATGCAAACAACTCCTGCTTGGTGCCAGTGTAAGCAGATTAGATTGAATTTGACATTAATGTTCCAAAAATCTTACTTCAAACATTAGGTGCTAGGAAAAGACAAATCCAAAATATTAGCAGACCAAAAAGCCATTTTATTCTCCCACAAAATTTTGGAAAAGTGAAAAAAAACCCCACACATTATGATGGAACACAGATTAACCAAACTCCAGTAAATGAGTTACATTTATGAGTTTCCTCAGTGTCACCCATAATATGAGAGTGGAGCTTCGGGTGAGGTTCCCAAATTACAATGGATTGAAAAAAATATAGACTTTTATTTGCAAAAGAAAATGTGGCAAAATAATAAAATATGCCTACTTTATTGGCATTCCTACTATATATACTTCCCCGCTCCTCTCCCTCTGTCTTTCCTCCGTGATAATAAATCGCGTGACCTGAATAATTGCACGTCTAGAGTAAACAGCTTGATAATCACGCCTCAAGAATGGCAGCTGAATGCTGTGGATAGTTCAATCCATCCTAGTTTCCCTGCAATATCTCCCTTGTGTAGCACATTCTGTCCGTTCCTTAAGGAAAGTACAGATTTATACCAGCATATGGTCAGTTTGAAATCAGCTTTAGGACTGTAAGAGTCTTAAATGGGAGCCTGGTGTAAGGCTTTCTGCAGGAAACACGTACACAAGAGCGAGCCTCAAATCTCAGGACAAAAGGCTGGCAAATTGAAAATGCTGCAGAAAGCGGCCTTTAAAATGGTACTCACACAGGTATGAGTGCCAGTATGAGCTAGTGGTTAGAGTGTTGGACCAAGTTTCCAGGAGATATACCGTATTTTTTGCTCTATAAGACTCACTTTTTCCCTCCTAAAAAGTAAGGGGAAATGTGTGTGCGTCTTATGGAGCGAATGCAGGCTGCGCAGCTATCCCAGAAGCCAGAACAGCAAGAGGGATTGCTGCTTTCACTGCGCAGCGATCCCTCTTGCTGTTCTGGCTTCTGAGATTCAGAATATTTTTTTCCTTGTTTTCCTACTCCAAAAACTAGGTGCGTCTTGTGGTCTGGTCCGTCTTATAGAGCGAAAAATACGGTAGGTTCAATTCTCCCCTCAGCCCTGAAGCCCACGGTGTGATATCCAGCCAATCATTTTCTTTTAACGTAGCCTACCCCACTGGTTCTTGTGAGGATAAAATGGGGGGGGGGAAGCATCATATACACCACTGTGTGCACCTGCTGGAAGGTTGGAAGGGAAATTAATGAATAGTTTTGCAGAACCAGTACATTCTCTCAAACAGTAGGTGTTTTCAGGCATGGTCCATCACTACTGTCAGCCGTTGACCACATGTCATTTTAAAATCCAATGGTCAGTTGGATCCTGGGCTGTGGGGGGTACAACATCCTTCTGGTCAGAGACCAGCTAATCACACAAACTAAAAGTAGTGAAGTCCTTATTACCACATCTGTAATTTATCAGCAGGGAGTGGAAAGACATTTGAGGATTGCATTGTTTCCTTAAAGGGCTGCCTTTACAGTACTTAATATGTGGGAGTGAACTATTAATTCCAAGTCACCAGTTTAGCCAACTAGATAATAATCATGGGGAATCTGAATTTCTACAGCCCTTGCTGCACTACGTGGAGGAAAATAGATAAAAGGAATAAGAAAGGAATTTTAAAAAGAAAAACATCCAGGATGGCTTTTCTGTAGCTAATAGGGTGAGGGGAAAGAGTTCGTAGCACTTTTCCTGGTAAGACACCTATGTCTTCCTGGGGCACTTTTCCTGGTAAGACACCTATGTCTTGAATGGCCACTTAATGCAGAAAATTCACCAGGGAAGCAATTTACAGTGTAATCCTGTGCATGTCTATCCAAAGTTCAGTGGGGCATATTTGCAGGAAAGGGTGTACAGCAAGGGTAGCCAACATGATTCCATCCAGATGCTTTGGACTATATCTCCCATCATCCCTCAACATTGGTCATCATAAAGGCACAAAACAGTTGCAAAGAATGATGTCTATGCACAGCTGGGAATAAGGATTAAGGAGAGGAGCCAAAGATAGCATTGAGGGCTGTACTGCTTGCCTGACCTTCCTCTGGCTGAGTTGCCGTTGTATACTGGGAGTGGGAGGGACAAAGCAGCAGTGAGGTTGGTGTGGTGTAAACAGACCAGAAGAAGCATTGGATTGGCTCTGCTGACATGTTTGCATTGCACCAACCTTGCCACTGCTTTACCCTTCCTTCTCTCCTCAGTGACTCAGACAGAGGGAGGCCAGGTAAGAGGTGCAGCCCCATTGTGCTATTCAATATGGCTTTGGGTCACCTTCTTATTCACAGCATAACAAAGCTTCAAGTACATGGCCCACATTCTTTCCTCCTCTCCACTATCTGTGGCAACCTGCCTCTTCTGTTTCCCCCACTCTTTCCAATGTGCCGTCCACTACTGGCAAAAGGCCAGGTGGAAAGGGCAAGTTTTGAGGACAGACTTAAAGGAGCAGAGAGAGGTAAGGCAATGAACTGGCTGTGCACTTTGTGACAAACACCATAAGGGACCGGGGCTGTTGCTTTAAGAGAGACAAATGATACTATTCAAATGCTACAATGGACTCTCTTCTGCTTTACTAAGGCTGCAGTGTACACTGAGCTGGGAGTAAAAACCTGTGAGTAAGTATACTCATTGAAGGAGAACATTTCAAGCTCTTTCTTTTCAGTCTGGTAAAAAGTGAATTGTTCAAAGCTTTAATAAAAACAGCTATTTTTAAAAAGGAAATATTTGCCCCAGTCCTTCATTCTAGAGGGTTAACTGGGGCAATGTTGCTCTGTTCCTGTTTTTGCCATAATCCAAAATATATGGTGTCATTAATGAATAATTATTTTTAATCTCCATCACAGCAAGGTGGCAAAAACCTCATCACGCTGCTGCTTCCATCTGCACTTAATACTCTGCAAGTTATCAAGGGGTGAACGGAAAGTCTGAAAAAGCTTAGCAGCAGAGCATTTAATATGCTAAATAAGTGTTTCTTACCTTCATGACAAACCTCTGAGACAAGCTCCCATTATTCACATTTTACAGTCTTAGTTCTAATATCATAGCAAAGAAAGGGATTTTCCCCACATCAATCCTTTGTCCACAATTCAGCATATACTTGTGTTTGAGAGTGTTGAAATAAAGGAACTTTTGTCAACTTGGATAACGTTGCATGCTGGAATTCCATGTTCTACATAACTATCAATGGTTTAGGAATTTTATCCTCCTCTGTATCTAGTTGCCCACTACAAAAGCAATTCCCCATCTGCACCATATATTTAAAGAAGTACCACTTTAAATAGCTGTGTCTTCCCCCAAAGAATCCTAAAAAGTGTAGTTTGCTAAGGGTGCTGAAAATTCTTAGGAAATTCTTATTCCCCTCACAGAGCTACAATTCTCAGAGCTGTTTGACCGTCAGTTCCTCTTACCCAGGGAACTCTGAAATTATAGCTCTGTATAGGGAATAGGGAGGTCTCCTAACAACTCTTAGCACGCTTAACAAATTATTATTTATTATATCATTTCTATACCACTTTATATTTTTGAGGAAAAAATCTCAAAGCAGTTTCTAACCTACATTTAAAACATCAGGGAAAGAAACAACACTCCAGAACAAAATATTACTGAGGAAAGTCAAATATAGAGTATACATTCAAAGCAACATAATTAACAGGAGATTAAAATATTATCTTAAAGATTTCAAAATAAAATATTATTAAAGGATGTCAAATATAAAATGCACATTTAAAACAGCATAATTAGAAAGAGAATAAACTATTATCATAAACAAACTACACTCCCCAGGATTTTTGGGGGGGAACCATGATTGTTTAAAGTGGTATGATACCGCTTTAAATGTATAGTGCATATATGGCCTAAACTTTTAAAACCACGCAAAAACCACTCACATCTTTATTGAGAGATGTTGCCATACTTCTGTAGGATTATAAGCTGAGAATGTGCTTCCTTGAACGCTGGCTAATGTGCAACTGCAGAACATGTAATTTCACTTTAAAGGGAGCTGTTAAAAGATAAGGGCAATCAATTACCAAACACAGATGGTACACTTGTACTAAAAAACAATCTAGAACCAAGGAAAGAAAGACAACAAACATGCTTTACCATCATGTGAGAAAAACAGATATAGTACCTTGGCCAGATATATGAACAATTAGATGCCTTGTATGCATTCGCAGATGGTTGGAACATTGAACCCAGTTTAGTCTAGTCTTTTCTACTACCTTTTAATGGAAGGTGCCAGTGACCAACTATTCATGCACAAATGTATCCTCTCATTTATTATTTTTTAATTTATTTATTTTAATGTCAATACCTATTTCATGAATTAAAGGTGCAGCCAGACATAATCTGGAAATCCATGACTTGGTTCTCTTGTGCTTTTGCTAAAAGCTGAACCTGTAATATTCCATTGTGTCTAACCTCTTATCCATGAGAAATAGATTTTACTGATTTGTAAGGAGATCATGATTCATAACACCCAGTCACATCCTTAGCCTATGTTCTCTGCCTATTTTGCTCTGACCTTCCCATCTCCTCCCTCAGCTACTGGGTCCTGCACAGGACAAGCTTCTTAAAGCTAAAATTTATAGTTAATTAGCAGAATGCAACAATCCATTAAGTGTGAGGCACTGGAGCAGATTAATTGTGCCTCTTGGTTTCAATTCCGCTTTGTTAAACTATCAGCTGATATAGTACTATTTTATGTGTAATTCAAACTCCTAGTATGCTAGAATTCTTGTGCAATCATTTCCACATGTATATGCTGGGGATGTCATGTGTAGCTATGGACAGGGTTCCAGCAATGGCCTGAACCGTGTCGGGTTTTTGCACTTCTTTTATTGGAATGGTGCAAGTAGCAATGCAGAATGAGCTATGCAGAAACTGCATGGCAGTTCATTCATCTCATGTCGAATGCTAAAGAACAAAAACCTTGTCATTTGACGAGTACATATTAACTTGTAATGAAAAGTAGTTTCAGAGTTTAGGTATCCATATTCATAAAGTTCACTTTGGAAATTAAAACAGTCAAAGAGTTAATTACTGTGGTTTTCTGGGCAGACTTTTAAAGTAAAAAAAATAAAATCAACATTTTGGTAAATATGAAGGTCAATGTTAAGAATGCCTTTAATTAAGAATAAGTGGCACATTTTTGGCGACCTTGGTCTTATTCAGAACTGCACACATTTGAGAGGTATGCTCTTATTTATTTAAAAGACATCTGTCCATCCCTTAATCTGAAGATCTCAGAGCACTTTAAGTGGGGCTGCCCTTGGGCCTGGTCTGGAAGCTCCATCTAATGCAAAATGCTGCAGCTAGACTGTTTATGAAGACAGATCATCACCAGCACAAAATTCCAGAGCTCAAAAGTCCGCTCTAGCTGCCCATGTGCTACCAGTCCAGGTCCTTCATTATTTGGGTCCAAGATACCTTAAGGACCACCTAATCCCTGACATCCCTGCCTCATCACCAAGGTCTTCATGAGAGTCACAGTTTGTGGTCCCCTTTGCATCCAATGCACAGGTCTTTTCCGCCAAAAGACAAGCATTTAGCTTTGTGAGCCCAGTTTTATGGAACTCCTTTCTAGTTGAGGCCAGTCAAGTCCCCGTCCTCTTGCACATTTATTCCAGCAGGCGTTTTAACTGATGTCTGATTTTTTAGTTTTAATTCATTTTTATTTTTGTATCGTCTCTTTGGAAGCTGCTTAGAGACTACTGTAGCTAGACGGTATATACCGTATTTTTCGCTCTATAAGACGCACTTTTCCCCCTCCAAAAATTAAGGGGAAATGTGTGTGCGTCTTATGGAGTGAATGCAGGCTCCTTGGCTTCAGCGATAGCAGCACGAAGCCTTCGAAGCACAGAGGGAGCGCTCCCTCTGCGCTCCGGAGGCTTCGCGTTGCTTTCGCTGAAGCCTGGAGAGCAGGACTCTCCTGGCTTCAGCAGAGAGAGAGCTGCGGAGAGCCCCTTCAGTGAAGCGGGAGGAGAAATGGAAGGGGCTCCATTTCTCCTGCTGCTTTGCTGAAGGGGCGCTGAGCAGAGAGGGGGAGAAATTTTTTTCTTGTTCCACCCCCCTCTAAAACAAGGTACGTCCTATGGTTGGGTGCGTCCTATAGAGAGAAAAATACGGCAAGTTGCTTTTTTAAAAAAACCCAACAAGTGCATTTACATTTTATGGCTGTCCAATGTGGTCTCTTGCTCTCAAAAGGAAAGTACTTCCCATTTGCTTCCTTCTTTGCTTTGACTGAGGCAGTGTTAGGGTACTCTGTGGACAGCTGGGCAGTTCTCTCCCTTGAAGCCTGGATGGATTAATTGCCCACATTAGCAAATGGAGCTCTGCAACTGTGCTAATGAAACCTAACAGCTTAGACCACAAGCTGATTGCCTGGGGAGGTCAGCAAAAAATACTCTCACCCACATATTGCTTACATGATTGCTTTACTTGTGTATTGTCAAGGAACACAGATGTATTTATATCATTAAGTGTGGAGACTGCAGCACAACAATAGTGCATTAGTCTTTGTTAGCAAATTTGTATTTTTTAAAAAATAATATCAGCCTCCTACAGCTCTTCAGCGGTGCTTGTTTTATCATTTTATTACCTTTTGTTTTCACTTTGCTTGCAAAAGAAAACTTTCATTGTTCCACTTCTTGGTTCCTCTATACACAGAGCTCCCAAAATAGCCAGTGTCTGTCACTGGGAAATAGCATTGATTTACATACTGGTGTTTTATTACTAACATTGACTGTAATGTTCCTACTAGAGATGGATGAAATCTGAATTAAGTTTGGACTGCTGGATAAATTGCATAATTATCTGCCTGCCATTTTCAGGCTCCTTCTGCCACCCCAGCTTTGACGGATGAAGGTCCAGTGACATTGTTTCCAGTCAAAATGGGGTGGCACACCCAGGTGCTGGTTTGCCAGCATATGACACTCTTGCACATTGGCTGGCATTGAAGTGGGGTATCTGAGGGCTATTGAAGACCACCTCTAGTCTCACTAGCCTAGTTTTCTGCTTGTTTTGTTCTCCACCCTCCCACCCATTCACTACTGTGGAAGATTGGCTGGCTAGGTAAAGGTGAAATATGATTTATGTACTTGTTGCCTGCCATCCAAATTGGCATAGGGAGATTTTTTTTTTGCCTGTTCTGGATACCGTGGGGAGATTGGCTATTAGTGCTGAGGGTGTGCTGGTAATATGAGAAGGAGTCCAATCACAACAGGCCAGTCCGTACATGGAAGTCAGTACTAAGTATTGTCATTAGTGACCACACCAAGGGATCAGGATAGTGACTGGGGATTCTCTAGCACTTTGGGACTCCACTGGGCTTTGCCTGTTTCATATACCCACAGTATTGGGGCTTTGGTGCTGAGGCAAATTTAGGGCAGTGTGACCAGTTCTGCTACATTGCACACCACGCAGGGCATTTCAACTATTATGCAGTCATGGTGAATTGAGCAAAATGGGAGATGAGGGGGGGGCACCAAATTTTGGCCTCTGAAATTTGAAAGACCAAAGTCCACCCTTGTTTGGCGCTGTGAACTGGGTGGGACCCTCTTCAATACAGGTGTGGCCAGATGGTGCGGAAGCAGTCAGCGCATTGCTTCAAGCTTTTGGGCTGCGTCACGCTCACTCTCACCTTGGGCAGGAAGGTCCACGAGGCCATTCTCCACTACTACTGCTGCTGCTACAACTACTACTACTACTAAATTTTTATTTGTACCCCGCCCCTCCCAGCCGGAGCCTGGCTCAGAGTGGCTAACATCAAATAAATAATACAATACAGTGGTACCTCGGGTTAAGAACTTAATTCGTTCTGGAGGTCCGTTCTTAACCTGAAACTGTTCTTAACCTGAGGTACCACTTTAGCTAATGGGGCCTCCCGCTGCAGCTGCGCCACCACCTCGAGATTTCTGTTCTCATCCTGAAGCAAAGTTCTTAATCCGAGGTACTATTTCTGGGTTAGTGGAGTCTGTAACCTGAAGCGTCTGTAACCCAAGGTACCACTGTATGCATAAAAACAAGCAGTCAATCGATTAAAATGCACCCCACAATTAATTAATTAAAATTAAATTAAATTAAATTAAAACTGGACAAATGACAATCCTCAGGTTAAAGCGGTTAATACTCGCCAGGACCAACTGTTTCCACTGATATTATAAGGCAGGCTTCCTCAACCTCGGCCCTCCAGATGTTTTTGGCCTACAACTCCCATGATCCCTAGCTAGCAGGACCAGTGGTCAGGGATTATGGGAATTGTAGTCTCAAAACATCTGGAGGGCCAAGGTTGAGGAAGCCTGTTATAAGGACCTGTGAGCGGGCTGGGGGACATCTTCATGCTCGTTCTTATACAAAGAGAAAATGAGTCAGACTGAACCCTGATCAAAGGCCTGGAGGAACAGCTCCATCTTGCAGGCCCTGTGGAAGGATGTCAAATCTTGCAGTGCCCTGGTCTTTTTTAGAGAGTGTTCCACCAGGCTGGGGCCATGGCTGAAAAGGCCCCGGCTCTGGTCAAGGCTAGTCTAATCTCCCTGGGGCCCAGAATCTTCAGGGTGTTGTTATTTGCAGACCGTAAGGTCCTCTATGGGGCATATCCCGTAGGTACGAAGGTCCTATAGGGCTTTAAAGGTTAAAACCAGCACCTTAAACCTGATCCTGTACTCCACCAGGAGCCAGTGCAGCTGGTATGGCACTGGGTGAAAGTGATCCCGTGGCGAAGACCCCGTAAGAAGTCTCACTGCGGCATTCTGCATCTGTTGCAGTTTCTGGGTCAGTTTCAAGGGCAGCCCCACGTAGAGTGAGTTACAATAATCCAGTCTGGGGGTGACCGTTGCGTGGATCACAGTGGCGAGATCAGGGCGAGAGAGGTAAGGGACCAACTGCTTAGCTTGGCGGAGATGAAAAAATGCTGCCTTTGTTATAGCTGTAACCTGCACCTCCGTAGGAAGGGAGGCGTCAAAGATCACGCCCAAACACCCATACTATAAACTATGTTCCCCCTCAGTTTGCGTAATGGTTGCATATCTCCTTGCTAAGTTATGCTTCAATGAAACTGTGAACTTAGTCAACACTATAACAAGTACCTCACCTCTTTAATTCAGGTTTGGGTGCAACAGAGTCCTCATTGTTCCACTGCCAGAAGTGGATGAAATTTCATTGGTGTTCTTTTTGCCATCCTGGCTATTATAGTTTACTTGTCTCAGACTGGATGTGTTGTGTTTACCCGTGTGAAAAAGGTTCTTATAGCCCTATTTTTAGTATCTTTCAGCTTCTGGATGTGACTGCGTGGGAGTAAATCACTCGGAGCAATTCAATAATATTAGATCAAAACGCCGGTTTCAATTTCAGAAACAGCCAACTTCCAAGAATTACTGATTAATCAACATTTTAAAACAATTTACAGCCTAGTATAAAAATAGCCACGAAACTAAATAAGCAGGAGAATTAAAACTCAACATTCTAAAACTTCAGCAATCCAAATAAAACCATCTTAATTAAAAGCCAGCTGAAACAGATGGCTCTTCAAGATATATATTTTTTTTTACAGGCTTGTACTGATGAGGACAGCTACACATCCTAAATGTCCGGATAACTTCCCCCACCAGTTTAAGATATTAAACAGTGCAGAGGAAAGAAGAGAGCTCTGGGACATCCCGTATACCAAAGACCATAAAGCACAAATACCCCCAGAACCACCTTCTGGGACTGTCTCTCCAGGATGAACCAAAGAGCCACTATAAGATTGTAGCTTCTAAGCACATCAGCCTGGTAGCCCAGAAGGAAACCTAGAAGACATCTGAAGGCAGCCCTGTTTAAGGAAGTTTTTAATGTTCAACAGACCACTGTATTTTAATACTTTGTTGGAAGCTGCCCAGAGTGGCGGGGGAAACCCAGCCAGATGGACGGGGTATAAATAATATATTATTATTATTATTATTATTATTATTATTATTAATTACTACTACTACTACTACTACTACTACTACTAAAATAGTATTGAGTTTCCTGAGGCTGGACTAGACAAACCTTTGGGTCCTTTCCAACTCTATAATTCTATGATTCTATTAATATTGCCAAGAAATTCAGAAGAACCCTAACCCATCCATTCCCTTTTATAATTCACCCAGCAGGACAAAAAGAGCAACATTTTCACTACCAAACCAGATTTGAAAACTGATCAAAATGGATCCAAATGCTTAACATCCTCAAGGACCATTTGCAGTAGATATGACAGAAAATTATCCATAACTATCATTCCCCATCAACTGGAAGGCTTGTAAGGCCACTTGGGTGCCCCCCCCCCCAAATGAACACCAAAATGAGAAGAACTGCTATAAAGCTTGGTTCTTCTTTGCTTGCTCCAGCCAAAGTTTTAGTTTCCCCTTGCTAATCTAATGAAGTCATTTTAAAGACACTAAGTAATGTAGGCATAGGTGCAATTTTTTGTCACAGTTGGCACAACTTGTTCTCCGAGCTCCGAATGAGGCTTCCCAGCTCAGCACTGTCTCCAGTGAGTGTGTTATCTTCCATTCTAAGCAATTAGCTTCATCCTTTGTGTCTGAGAAAATGCTTTCTGAAATATATACCTTGTTGTGATTCTTAGAACAACTGGACATTTGCAGCATGCAGAAAGGAATGATTGATTTTGCTATTCTTTCATCCTCTCTCTGGTGGGAGGATGAGGTGCAAACAAAGCACTGATGGATACTGCGTTCAGCCACGGGTTAAGATGCACTGCCATCACTGATGCTCTGCATGGCTGGAGTCATCTGCCCGTCTGCAGTTTTTGAACTGGTTCCAAAACTCTTTCCTGTGCCTGAGATTATACAGCATTCTAGGTTGCCTTCCAGCTGACGCTGTCAATAAACAGAATGTAACCTGAATGCAGCCAAGATACAGGCTTGAGTTTAGGAAAAACATATGCTGAGCTATTGGGGGACGGGACGGGGGGGGACAACTATATTCCAGCTAACTGATGTTTTACTGCACATTTAAAGATCTATCTAACTGATTCTGGCCAGAGATATAACCACAGCTCCATGCCTATGGTAAAGAAGTACTTATGAATAAATGCAAATCGAAAATCAAAGGAAGATGCTGTATCTAAGAACCAGGATTCATGTTATTACAAGTAAAATTAAGACGTTAGTAAGATAGATCTTTAAATGTGCAGTAAAACACAATAAAAGGGACGCGGGTGGTGCTGTGAGTAAAACCTCAGTGCCTAGGACCTGCCGATCGTATGGTCGGCGGTTCGAATCCCCGCGGCGGGGTGAGCTCCCGTCTTTCGGTCCCAGCTCCTGCCCACCTAGCAGTTCGAAAGCACCCCTAAGTGCAAGTAGATAAATAGGTACCGCTTTATAGCGGGAAGGTAAACGGCGTTTCCGTGTGCTGCACTGGTGCTGGCTCGCCAGAGCAGCTTCGTCACGCTGGCCACGTGACCCGGAAGTGTCTCCGGACAGCGCTGGCTCCCGGCCTCTTAAGTGAGATGAGTGCACAACCCCAGAGTCGGACACGACTGGCCCCTACGGGCAGGGGTACCTTTACCTTTACCTTTAAGATATAGCAATATCAGAATTACTATGGGTGGAGTGTGTGTTTTGGGATGCAGTTGAAGTTTATCTCCATTCAGCTAAACTTCACTAATGTGTAGGAGAAGCTCCACAGCAAAAAGCAAAAGGAAAACAACTGCCCACCACATTTGCACTGGTTGAGCAGCAATGACTCCGCTAGTCATTCAGCTCTGCTACTCCCCTAGTCAGGAGTTACGTGAAACACCTTCCCTGGTTTTGTGTTCTTTTTCCTGAGGGTCAAAAGGTATCTTCAGCATCATTTGCATTTTGTAATAATAATAATAATAATAATACCATTCACTGCCATGAGTGTGCTTTTTCTTGATGATGTCATCTTCCTCTTTGCTGATGTCATGGATGCTTATAAACAAAGTCATACGGATTGACGCAGCCAAGTGGGCTATAGAAAATCATGTGCTTCACAGCAGCCAATTCACTTAAAAGGTAGGCTGGGTAAATGAGAGGGCAAGAGCAAAGAAAGAAAAGGATAAAGAGGACCAAATTACTCATGATGCCATTTTTAAACAAATTGTAGGTGCAGTGAACCTGAGCTGGATCAGGGCCCTGATGTGGGGGGGGGAGCAGAGGGTGAGGGGGTTTGAACCCTCTCCCCTGGCCGTGGCCCAGATCCAGATTGGGTGCATGGTGCTCACAGCTACTATTTGTATTACGGAAAAAGTTCTTATTCAATCTACTGGTGGTTTTTCTCCTGTGGAAATATCTGGCAATGAGGAGAGGAAATGACATGCTTTTACTAATGGATTAAACTATTTAAAATCCCTGTTGGGGCGGCCCAACTTGTTTTAAATTGTCAAAGGACTGCTGACAAACTTTCACCAGAAAAAGACATCTTAAAAACAACAACGGTCTGCTGGGGGATTGAATTTGTTTTATTTATGTATGTTTAGAGTGCCTACTTTACAGCAGCCCATTTGTTTGTTTACTCCCAGGCTTCCATGTGGCTGCTTTCAAAAATAAATCATTTCCACATTTCTAATTTTGAATATTGCACATAAAGGCTGTGAACATCTATAAAAACTTCACTCGTGCATCTAAGCACTCAGAGCCCCAGCTATATTCCCATCGCTATAGATAATCTCTCTCAGTTATTTTTGACTCACAAATCCCCAATTCAAAATAAATTATTCAAGTAACAATACCCAAGTAACTGATTTCCAGTTTCGATTGTGCGATTTGTTAAAATCATTACATTTCAATGGAAACAAGGCATCGTACAAATATACAAGTTGCCCTCTCCCAGAACAAAAGTACGGTTAATTTTAAACAAGCAGATAACAGGGGAACTATGATAAAGCTCCCAAATCACTGGATAAAGCAGGAGTGGAGACCCTCCAGATGTTGTTAAGCTCCAATTCCCATCAGCCCAAGCCAGCATGGCCTATGGACAAGGAGGATGGAAGTTGGAGTTCACCAACATCTGGCAGACCACAGGTTCCCAACCCCTGGCGTAAAGTAAGCCTTCCTCTTAATTAAGACGAATATCTCTTTAATAAATAAACCCAGCTGCACCCTGTCCTTTCACCAAGGAAGTCACAACGGTGTACAAGGAAGTTATGCCATTTTATCCACAGAACAACTGTATCAGGTAAACTAGGCTGAGAAAGTGCAGCTGGTTCAATGCCAGTCAGTGAGTTTCAAGGCTTAGTGAGGCTCTGAATCCATGTTGTGGTTGTTGTTTTTGTTGTGCTATAATTTAAGAAAGTTTAAAATTTAAAAATTCAAAGTATTTCATGGGGGGGGGGAGTGAACTGTTTTGTTTTTGATGAGCAACCTTAGGACCAGGGGCCAAACCCTGTCCATCTGACGGGGTTGCCCCAGTCTCTCTGGATGGGGGGATCAATCTGAGAGGAGTGTGGGGCATGCTTTCCCCCCCCATCCCCATATGATCGCTAAAGGCATGAATGTTGATGACAGAACCAGGTGGAAAACTATTCTGTGTCACAGGAGTTCACTGCATTTCTCAGCACCGCTACCAAGTCAATTCCTGCATTTTTTGTCCTTTTGTTTTGTCCTTTTGGGTTCCTGTTTTTTGCTTCTTATTCACCTTCTTAGCATTCTAGTCCCACTTTTACTCTCATCTGACTTGAAACATTTTTATCCCACATTTTGGAATGAATGTCCAGAACTAAAAGGAAGGAAATGGATCGTATTTTGGTTTTGTCCCATTCTCTCCCTCCCTCCCTTATTTCTCTCTTTTCCTTTTCACATTCTGAACATGTTATGTAAAATGAAGCTGTATTCATTTTGATAGTGATCACATTCAAACAATCAGAGCGCATTTCATCAAAGAAGCCTGTGCCCCAAAATTACGACAATATGTGCTGTCTGCCAGCTAATTAAAAGACCGAAATTTGCTGTTTACTGTTCCCTCATTTGCAGGAGCTGTAAGTCACAAAGTAATTAGAGAGCTAAAACAATATCATGAGAAATTGATGCTTTCGTTCCTGTTCTGTGAAAACCTCATGAAATGGATCAATGTGTTTAAAGCATAATAATATGGCTGTTGTGCTAGAGCAAGTTGTCTCTGATGGAGGAGAAAACAACTTTAAGCAGAGATAGATGTTGGGTGTTCTCCCCCCCCCCCATCTTGTAAGTAACACTATAGTTCAACAGGGACGGATCTTCTGTTTGAGGCTATTCCAGCCAGAAATGAATACAGTGCTTAGCCAAACTAGAAGGGAGTGAAAAATAGGATTGTGCTGGAAAATAGAGAGCTACTTTATCTTTGCCAGGATTTGTCTCTTCAAGTCACAGTTAGGTCACACAAGAACACAGGTGCAAGCACCAATTAAAAGTTATATGGGGAGCAAGGAATAGCTTGGCAGCTCCCAGCGTTCGGCATCAAGTTAAAGAGTCACCATAGAGGAATAAAAAAAATGTTCTGTATTCTGAAATCTTCCCAGAAGTGCTAACGTTTTATAAAGCCCCCCATCCAAACCACAGACATCCTAAGCTCATTGATGTTTGCTACTGTTTTGCTCTCCTTCTACAAAATTCTAGACAGCTCTTTCCTGGGTAAGTTTCCTGATATTGTTGCCTTCTTGGAATACTCTATCTATCTATCTGTCATCTATCTATCTATCTAGTATCTCCCCACCTGCTCAAGCACCTTGTCCCCAAAGGGGAAATTTGCCACTGGATGATAATTATTTAGCATTTCTGTGTCCAAGGAGGTCTTCTTAAGGGGGGGCATGCGCCACCAGCTCTTTCAAGGCAGATGGTATGTTCCCCTCCTGCAGTGAAGCATTGATACTGCCTGAGCCCACCCAATCAACAACTAGTAGGTGCTCATTATAGGATTACATTGCACATGGCGGGCATCTTACTTTTGTCTAATGGTTGCCTCAGATTTGCTGCCTAAGGCAGCTGCCTTCACTTTGCCTAATGGAACGAACAGCCCTGATTTTTAGAGCTTCTTCCTATACTACTGCGGTTAGTAGCTGATTAGTAGCTAATATAATCAGATTTCAGTGTGATTGATTGATTACATTCTGCATTTCTTTAACTAAAACAACCCAAAGTGGCTTACAAGCTAAATCTCATAAAACATCGTTATCAAGCTAATTTGTACACAGTGCTAACAAGAATTAAGAGTACAAAACAACACATTTTCATTGAAATTAGCAATGGAAATATGTCACTGTTTGCATAAAGCAGCTTTAGGCTGCCATCTCATACATATTTCCTTGGAAGCAGGCTCCCTTGAACTGATGCTGGGGTTTACTTTTGAGTAGTTATGCAATGGATTGCAGGGTTCAGATCATTAAGAGAACCATTGAATGTCCTGAAGAGGAAACGTTCTAATGGCACTTAGAGGTTTTGATGATTAAGCCTGTTAAATAAAAATAAATATTTTTGTTTTTTCTGGTTCCTGATGTTCAATAAAACCTTTTGAGGAAATAAAATAAAATAAAAAAATTGCCGCTGGAAATTGCTGGAGACTGCAGTTCAGAGCCAAACTTGATGTTTACTAAATGTGGGTTGGGGAATGGCTGGCTTGTAGCTCCTCCCCATTTGGCCTACAAGGTTGCTTTGGCTGAGCCTCACCCACATGCTCTTCACAATACATGTCAGGAGAGGCCAGGTAAAGATAAAGATGGGTTGCCATACACCCGGAATTTCCTGGACATACAGTGGTGCCTCGCAAGACGAAATTAATCCGTTCCGCGAGAGTCTTCGTCTAGCGGTTTTTTCGTCTTGCGAAGCAACCCTATTAGCGGCTTAACGGATTAGCGCTATTAGCGGTTTAGCGGCTATTAAAGGCTTAAAGGCTTAGCGGATTAGCTGCTAAAAGGCTATTAAAGGCTATTAAAGGCTTAGCGGATTAGATAAAGGGGAGCGAAAAAAATCTCAAGACTGCAAGACATTTTCGTCTTGCGAGCAAGCCCATAGGGAAATTCGTCCTGCGAAGCAACTCAAAAACGGAAAACCCTTTCGTCTAGCGGGTTTTCCGTCTTGCGAGGCATTCGTCTTGCGGGGCACCACTGTATCTGGAATACTGCAGTCTGCAGCAGTGCCCAGGTGGCAGCCCATGTCGGCAGTGTTGTTTTTGCTAATTTTCTGTAAAAATTGCTCAAAACTGGCATTTTTGCCCGCCCCCCCCCCAAAATTGGCAACTTTGCCAAAAATAGCTCAACAACCTTCCGGATTTTCGCTGTTTCACTGTGCCTAGATGATCAGCTGATTGCTGGGGTTTGCAAAGCGCCATACCTTGCACAGTTTGATTCATTATGGCATCCAATGATTGACAGATTGGTGGCCCCTTCAGTTGGTCCCATGGGAGTGAGTGGGAGAGATCAGGATCCACCCACAGGCCAGTTCCACTTCCCCACTCCTGGCTTAATATATAACATGGAGCTATGTATCTTATTTTTCTTTAAATTATTACAGGCACTGGATAGGGAATTCTTACTGAGAAGGAAGCAGGCAGGCAGGAAGGAGAGGCTAATCTACTGACTCCCATACTAGAGCTGGAAGAGAGATTCCCCCCCCCCCCCAACCTCCATGCAGCTTAGCGGGGCAGGGAAAACCCGATTTAAAACAGGGCATTCCACAGAATAGGGCTCCTGTGGGAAGGCCCCACTTACCTCTCAGGTAAGGGGACTTTTCATCAAAACCTCAGTTTATGATTCTGAAAGATAGGATAGCTCAGTATGGGGAGAGGTGTTCTCATTAAACTAGTAGCTTCCACCACATTTGATCTCATTCTGTAAAGGAAAAAACCTTGCTCTGGGCTGTAGTTATGACCAGGTCGGCCAGGAAGATAATGAAGCATCACCGCTGAATGTGCAAAACAAAGACAAATTGTGTTGCTATGGGTTCCTAGGCAACACAATGCCAGCAGCCCACAATCATGTGTAACACAGATTGCAGTGAAGCAGAGAGTATACATTTTGATCGTTGTCTGCAATGTTTTGTTGCAGTTATGCCGTGCCATTCAAAGCAAAAAAAAGCCCTGAGGGAATTATACAAAGGAAACGAATTTCTCATTTTGTTAAAAAATAAATGAATCCTGGAAAGAGGAACATTTTAGCAGATTCCTGCCTGGCTGCTGGCAAAGCCAGCCCTGTCATTAGGCAGAAGGTGGCGGCTCCCTAAGGCAGTAGATGTACCGGTGGAGGTGGCACAAAGTGGCAGTGAGGTGTTGGAGTGGACAGGGTCACATGTGCCTGCATAACTTGCCCTGCATCCCCTAAGATAATCTGCTATGCTCAGGAGTGATGGAGAATTTGCCCTACCTCCAGTGCTGAAGTAAGTTTTGGTCAGCTTCTGTACAGTATGTGGATTGTCCTTTGCTTCAGGCAACAAAATCTCTTTGGCCAACCCTGATTGAACATTTATTATTATTATTATTATTATTATTAGTCGTATACTTCCCTATACCAGTAGATCTCAGGTCAATTCAAAACACAAAATTACAGTATAGAGTATAGAGTATTCCACGGCTGTGGAATTTTTTATGGGTAAACCTAGCTTTAGTTGGGAGTATATAAATTGGAGTTGAAGGCCAGGTGACTGAGTATGGGTAATTAAATTTTATGAAGTCATCATGTTTTTTTATTAGGGTGAACACACCTGTGCCTGTCCCCACCACATTAAAATCTTGGATTTCTCCATTCATTACAGTGGACCGTTCTCACTTCTGTCTCTGGGGGCATTTAAAAATAGCTTCTCATCCATATATGTACCATAACTTGACTTATGAGAGAAAAGGGAGCATAGTCTTTTCCCAAAATAAGGATTATGAATCAGCACTGATTTGGGGGAAATATAATTCTCCCTGCTGTCTCAAAAGCCGGTCAATGGTAGATATATGTTCCAACCTGATGGACAGCTCACAGCTTTGCTTCAGAGTCGGTCTTGATATATCAATATGCACTTGGGGCAACTTTTGGGCCTGGTAAGGATTATTACAATTAGCTTAATTGGTTGTTGTTACTTCTGATTTATGTTGTAGATAGATGGTGAAAACCTCTTCTTACTCACCCAGCATGGGAGTGCAGCATTCTGCCAGGGGAAGGACAGATTGCTTTTTCCTTCCTTCCGCGGTTCACTTAGTATCCATGCTTAGCAGGGAGAAACATGCTCCTCAATTTCCCCATGGCAACATGGGGGGTTGCTAAAGGAGGAGCAGAACATTCTTTCCCTCCTGGAATATGTAATGTAGAGCGTGACCTTATATCATTGGCCCACCTGGCTCATTCCTCTTGGCACTGGCTGGCTGCAGCTCTCAGCGGTTTGGACAAGGAGCCTTTCCTAGCCCTCCTTGGAGATGCTGGGGGGTTAAACCTGATACCTTCTGCATGCAAACCATGTGATCCACCACTGAGCCATGGCCCTTCTCCATTCCTTCTCTAGCAGCTCGCTGTGCTGTTATGCTGGGCATGGAAGAAAGGGAGTCTCTTTCTCCTTTCCTAGCATGGAAATGCATCAGGCCGGGAGCTCACCTGGGTAATGTGGATGAGAAAGGGGAATGGGGCCCAGAAGATGCCACAGCTCTGGCCTGAGGTACAGCGGTTCCCCACACCTGTCTGAGTTCTCTGCTCGTCAATAAAGTCTATTACAGACCTGGAAAAGGAGTTTTCCAGCCCCTGATCGAAGAATACTAGCACACAGAGTGCAATGAGATTGAGTGTTTGTGGGAGGCAAGGAGGCTCAGTTAATTTCATTGTACACAGGTTGTGTACATTGACAATAAAGGTATTATTATTATTATTATTATTATTATTATCATCATCATCCGTATGTAGGCCACCCTCTCCGGCCTAAATCAAATTTCCTTTTGTCCCTGGAGTAATGGGACAGCAATTCAACTGATTTAAGCTTGTTGTGTATACATATACCCTTTGTTTAGGAGAGATGTCAGAGGCAGCTTTCGCCCTCCTTCCTTTGCCCTCAGATATAAATGTTGTAAATAAAGCTGCTCTGCACTAGCTTGGGAAACTCATCACGGTGCACTAAGAGTGCCATAATTCTTGAATGGCTCAGCAGCTGCCAAAGGACCCCATTGTCCACAAAAAAGGACAAGCTTAAAGTTGACCTCATGAGCTGCTCCCTTAACAGGGCACCATAATGCATTGGGACACCATTTTCAAAGCTGTAAGTCATACAGACACACACACACACACACACACACACACACACTTGTGCTATCTCCTTTCCCCAGCATTTTTCTCTGCATTTTGGTTTCTTTTTACTGTGGATATTATTTTAGAATATTTCTATGCAGTAATAATAATAACCCCGTGTCTTATTGCATACATCTCTTTTGAAGGGAAAAATATTTTTTAAAGAAATAATAATAATAATGAAGCGTGATGATTGATTTCTTTTATGTTTATTGAGTTCAATCTTGCAGACTTGAAAAGAATAGAAATGGGATCTCATTTTTCATCAGGCTTGGCCTCATTTTTAAATAACAGCCCAATTTTAATGGGTAAGAAATGCTCATACCATAATTTATGAGAGCAGAAATCTGGCAGATTGAGTTAATTCCCCCCCACTCTGAGTCTCCTCTATGATTTAATATATGATCGCAGGACATAAAATTGGAAGAGACCAAGGGGCCAAAATCGAGCACACTATAGAATGGTATTTGCGAAGCAATAGCTCCAGAGGGTTCGTGTAAGTAAGCCAAGCTATACACTGTAGGAAAAAGGGTTTTCAAAAACAAAGCCTTGTGTCTGGTCTGCAATGGCCTAGATAATATCATTCTAACATACAGAGTACTGTGTTCCCTCTTCTCACCCCCCTGTCTTTTTTCTCTTGCACTTTTAATTGAATATTTCTGGTGTCTGTTAACCACAGTTTCCTGTTACACCTGGATCAAGAAACTGAGACTTAAGCTTTAGTTACAGTCTTGACTTGCAGACTGGGATTATTGAACTGAGATAATTGTGAACCAAGCCACAAGAGATGGCAATCATACCAGGGATCCAAACACTAAGACACTAAGGTGCCTGCTGTCATGCGCCTGACACAAAGGCTGTGACTGGGAGGAGTATTTTCTACAGCTCTTGGCCCAGAGCTGCAGGGCCTGGCCAAAATGTTTGTAAATGCCCAGAGAAGTCACAATAGTTCCCCCCACTCCACCTCAAATAACAGAGAACTACTGGCCACCGCAACCTCTGGCCAGATATTATTGATACTGCCCCTTCGAGCCATGACAGCATCCTAGTATGGCTAGGGTTTGGCCATAGCTAGTAGCCAATTTGACCAGAGCTGGATCAGACCAAAAGGACCTATGTCCTTCTCAGATATTCCTCCTTCCCTCCCTTTTGAAATCTGCTTGAATTAACAAGTGTCTGCCTTTAGTGGCTAGAATGGTATTTTAGCTCATTATTCATTTTGAAGAGGGCCCTAGAGATTAATGAATAACATGATTCTGGTGGTGCTGAGTGTCTAGACTTGCTCTCTGAATGTTATATGGACAAATGGAAATGACAAATACTCTTTACATGTTTATTTTTGGACTGTTTTGTTGTTTAGCGAATATACAGTGTGTGAGAGTGAGTGTGTGAGAGAGTGTGTTAAAGAGGCTTTTTCACATTAATCATTTTGGCTACCTGTGATTGTTTTTGGAATTTCTACCCTATCTCAGTGGCTGATGTCGGGAATGAACTGTTGAAAATATATAATCACTGGCATTTTAAAGAAATAAATCCCATGAACCTTATCAGTCAGTGTTCATACAGGGACTTCCCAGCTGGAAATATCTCAATTTCTAAAGAATGCAGAATATATACCACTTGCTATATTTTGATTGGCACCGGCTTGGCATGTGGAAATCACAGATCTGCTCTCAGATTTGATAACAAGAAGAAGAATGGCTTGACAATGTGTTGGGCCCAAACTGTTTTTAGAAAGTTATAGGTTTAGATTTGTTAGATTTGTATATCTCTTCCCACTAAGAAAGTCCTGAAGCCATTTACGATCAAAACTGATAGGAAACAAGTGTAAATATGGGAATACTGGAAGATGGGTGCTTGACTTTCTCATTCATACATCCCACTGACTGTCACTCTGCAACAGGATGTGGAGAAACAGCAGAAACTCCAGTCATTCCTTCATTACACAATGTGACCTGAGCTCTCTACTTGAATGGCCGATTATGCACCTGTCTTTCTGCAGAGTACAGAGTTCGCTTTGAAGTGTGTCTGTGTGGTGGAGATGAAGATGTTGGCGTTGCTTGTAATGAACTAGTTCAGTTTACTGAACTAGTTCAAAAATCTCTGAAGTATACCTGAAAGTAGTTCCTATAATTACCAAGTGAACTAAAAGTGTATTATGTTCACTTTGAGGTAGAGCTTCGAATGATTTCTAGTTCATCTTCAAATTACTTCTGCCCCTACCTCTAAGCAGGAGGCCCAGACTCTTAACTTTCATTAAAAATAAATAAATCAGTCCATCCAATACATAAGAAAGTTAGAAAGCAAACTGTGGAGGCAACATTCTAAGACTTATTAGACAGATATGGAAGTGCTGCTGTTGCTAAGGATGCTTAGTCACTGTTGCTAAGCAACCAGTAGGAAGGAATGTGAGGCATTTCCTGTATCTTTATTGCCGAAGAAATTTGCTTTTCTAGTATGCAAATACAACTGTGAGGAAACCTCCATCTGTTGCAATTCTGTCTGTCAGACATCTTATTACTTGCATGTTGCCCCAATTTAGATTTGGACCCTATGCTTCAGCACAGTGTCTCGAAACATTCTGAATGGTGTGTGTGTGTGTGTGTGTGTGTAGCCAAATATG